CTCTTTCTTATAATAAATTATATTCAAACAAATGGGAACCAGAAGTGGAATGAAACCAAGTAACTAAGATAAGACAAACAGCTGCCACTAGTGATCTTTTCATTTTTTTACCAAGAGATACAGCTATTCCTGCAGGTACTATAATATGCTGCTCCCTGCTGGCTGTCCTTGAAATGAAAAAACTTACTGTAAACTAGAAGCCTGTAAGGCTCTTCTGGGGTTAAGTGGAAAGCTTGAGTACAAAAAAGGTGCAGCAGAGTCTAAACCTGATAGTTGACATGACAAATTTACAGCTGGAGTGTGTAACCTAATGCCCAGCTTATTTGCAAATGAAATTGCAGACTGCTGAAACAAATGAGTACAGTATTTAAAAGTATTACTGTCTCAAGATTAAAAAGCTTTACTGCCTCCTTTTACCTGTTTTCTTGACAAGTAAGGAGTAGCACAGTATTTTTCTAGCAAACAGTTTGCCCCCCCAAACAGGGAATTTGCATAGTATGAGGCCCATAGTGCTGTTGTACTTCTGGGGAGTGTGCTGATAGTCAGCTGGCTGTTAAGTTGGTGTTTCTGGATGTAGGTTCTTGGGTGATGTGGCCTTAAGGAGAATTTGAGGATGCTGGTACTTAAATGCAGAGCTGACACTTTCCCTTTCTTTGCATTAAAGTTTTGTGATACAAAGAGCATGTAATCAGCTGGTAAAAGCAAGGGCTTGTACTCAAGATTGTTGCTTAGGACTGCAATATACTCTTAATGTACTAATCCTACTTGGATGGTTCCTGAGGACAGAACATTTTTAAGAACCAGTTTGGGAACCATGGCCCTCAGCTGTCTGGTCCTCATACATTTGATGTTGTAAAAACAGGACTGGAGTTTTTGACCTAACCTGGTCGCTGAGACTGGCTGAATATAGTGTTACTAGGGCCCTTGTTATGAAACTGGCTACTGAAACTGGTCAGAGGAGCCTGGGGAGGGAGGGACTGGGTGTGCTGGCAGCTAGAATGGTGTTTGCATAGGTAGCGATAGATAGAAAAGGAGAGAACCCATTGGCTCATCTTAATTTTCAAAAAGTCAATCTGAAAGAGCATGAACTTAGAAAATACAGTTTATTGTAGCTACTAGAAATGTATTCCTTTATAATTGGATTCAGATATGCTGTTTAAATAAAAGCCAATTTCACACTTCTGCCAGAGTTGAAACAAGCTCATGTAAGATTTATTTCTTCTAAAGCTTTTTACTAATAACAAAATCAAAGGTAACTTATCTGGTCAAAGACATGCTAGGATGAAGATTAAATGTTCATTACTATAGTAGAATAATGTTTCTTAGTAGTAGATCTTGAGCATTGTTTGAAACCTATGGAAAGAAAATAATGTTATGGGTTGTTTTTTGTAAAAGCATCATTAAAAGGAATTACTTCATTGCCTCATTTTCGCTTACATTATATGTAAGTGTCACACTATTATTACTGTAATTGGTATGAGGCTTTTTGCATTCTTGGTTTCCTGTAGAAAATAAAGGCATTTTTCTTAGTTCAGTTTGTAGACAAGCACGTTAAGTCATTAGGCCTCTAAGTTTAACTGGCACTGTTGAGTAATCCTTCTGTTCTCAATAAGAAGTACGAACAGCTGTATGTCTTTCCATTAATTTGTTAAATAAAATGTTAACACATTTTTCTTGTGCCTGCTATACTAATATTGCACTGAACTGAAAGCACGTTTCTCCTTAGCTCAGGGCCATAGCACTGTGACTATAAGATGTTGGTTGGGCCACCAATGATTACAATTATTATATTAGAACATTTCTGTGCAGGTCCCTAGAGTTTTACTGGACAGTTGGTAATGGAAAACCTGGTTGTCTTTAGTTAGAGTAGGTTGAAGAAGTACTAACTGTACCAAAGGGTGGTGTTCACAACTGAGGTGTTAACTCCAAGTGTACACTGTGCTCCAAGTGGGTGGCAGAATGAGTTGCAGCTAGATGTTCTCTATAAGCAAGCTGTGGAGGGACCCTCAACAGATAAGATTTGCAAGGCTTGAAAGACCTACAAGGACCTCCTCTTAGTGATGGTCACCAATTTCTGTATATTTTCTGTATATTATTCTATATATTTTGAGTATAGGGGTGAACTGATGGTCAAGCATGAGAAGAGCCATGAACCTGAAATGATCCTACAAAGTAGTAAACATGCACAAGAGAACAGAAGGCAATACTATTTCCAAGTCATATATTAATAAAGCAGGAACTGTAGTAGGAAAATTACTGTTCATATCTGTTCATAAAGCTGTTAGCATTAGTTGGAGGTTCCTAAAGGATGGCATGCAGAGCATACAGTGCTCCTGCCCTTCAGGGCAGTTAAGGGAAGACGTGCAGAGCAGTAGTAGCACCTAACTAGACACTATGCAGCTGTGACAGCTTCTGTCTGGAGACTTGAGGCACTGGGCAGCTCATAGAAAAGCTATGTTTTTTGTCTTGATGTGCATGTTGTTTATGTGGCAAGGGTTAAACTCAGTCACTCTTAAAGCTTCCCACACAAGCACAGCATGCTGTAGTGGTAAGCATTCCTGGGACATGTTCAACCTAGCTTGCAAACAACTGGAATACATAGTGATACTAGAAGTGTCAGACTGACAGAAAGCTGTGAATGCCAGATGCACACAAGTCTTGTCCGTGCTTCTAGATTGCCAGAAATTCCTGCAAACTAATTGAAAGTAAAAGCATCTCTGAGGAAACTTGGTCTTGCTCTATTGCCAGTGACAGTGCTTGTGAAGTTATGTTAGGAACCCTGGCTTTTAAATAGTAAAGGGCAAATATAGATAAATACCTGCTCAGGTAGAAGGAGTGGATGTTTTCTGATGGGTCACACATTCTTTTTCCATATCTGGAGAG